ACATAAGAAAGTGTCGAATGCCACTTTATCTCTATTAAAGGGAAAACTCTGTTCTTGTGTTCTATTTTTTCACTTACCACTGTTTAGCACATAAGACTAATTTGCACTAACACTAATTCAAATAAATATGAATAGATGACAAAATCATTTTCATTCCGTCGTAACCATGGCAACAAATTATTATAGTACGTTTTGACGTAATAAGAAAGTACTGAAATACTTAATCGCAAGTCAGTAAAATTTTTAATGTGTTTCGAGGTGCGAAGTACTGATTTTTAGGCTTCCCAATAAAGATCACGAAATCCGTGGAGTTATGGTGCACAATAAACGCCGATCGGTTGCCGCCTCCACAATTAGTAGCTAAAGGGTGTTTATTTAGAGGGACCACCCTAGTATGACCATGATTTTAATAGTTCTCTTGACAATGCGTAGAGATGTGGGGTCTCTCTGCATCTAATACCGCATTTTCCAACGGAGAGTGTTGAGAGTTGTTCGGATTAATACCTGTGTATCACCTCGACCTCCGTCGTTCCACAACTCAGAGTTTTTCAAGGCAGTTTTTGCCGCGCACCACCACTATGTAGAACCAGCTGCTTACTAAAGTACTTCCGAACCAATTCGAATTAGGGTCTTTCAGGGGCGTACCAATTAAAAGGTCGGCAACGAACTTGCGAGCCCACTGGCATTGAGAGTGTCCGTGGGCGGCGGTATCACTTAACATCAGGTGTGTCATCTATGAAAAAAAGTTCTGTAATAACTGACAGCAACGTCAGCAATGGCAGCTGTCAGTAGTGGAATTACTCAGATATATATTATGTCATATAGAAGCCATAATGATTTCATTATATGTCTACAGTTTTTTTGGGATATTTTTATTTATATATTTGTTGAAAATATTTAACAATTATAATAATCACCCTTATCTTTAGAGGTTGACTACGCATAGTTTTTGTTGCATTCACAATAAAAAATAACCCCTTTTTTAATTAAAATAAGTGTCTATTTACCTTTTCCACGGCACCTATCATTCACGGCGGCCAGGCTCCAGATGTATTGAAAACGAATTCATGAGCTTGTGGATCACGAGTTACTTACATTCTCTATTGCACGTTATTAATGGTCACCCCACTCGGGGTGTGAAGTGCCCGAGGCATCCCCTGCTCTAATCGCTTAACCGATTTCGTACATAAACTCGCATTATTGTTTTTTTATTGTGAGATAATAAAATTGTCTTTGGAAACCGCAGTGGGTGCGCGGCACTCTCGCAACAAATCGATTTGGTATGAGGGTCATCGTGATTCTTTTTAATTCATGCTATTGTGGTATTGAACTAGCGGTTCTATTTCTAAATATATATTTTTTAAATTTAACGCGAACGTAATTAAGAGACAATCAGTGGTGCTACAACATTTTTAAGTGTGGATTGAGATCTTTGTATCTGTTGATGATTTGCCCATCTTATGAGAGAGGCAACTTAGGCGATTTTTCGGGTCTAAGACAAGCCGTCACCGTACTAGCAAGTGTTCATTGCAGGAAGTAAGAGAGTTAAGGTCGCTTAACTTAAGCTAACATGACTTAAATATTTGCATAGTTTCCACCAATACGGTACCCTAAAAATTATAAAGAAACTTTTATTTAGTAAAAAAATGTAAACTTGTCAGTAAATGTCAAAATTATTCTATACCTTTGAAACAACTACCTTAATGTCAGCTATGGTATAGGTTTTAACGAACTAGGTAGCAATTTCAAACATTACCTAATATATTTCAAATTAATTGGAAAACCGTCATGCATCAGACCCAGACAATGTATATACCATAAAGCTGATTAACTTGCCTAACGAAATATAAATAATAGTTTCATACAGGACATAAAACTACAACAATCGGCATCAGGTTTCTGTATCTAAGTAAGTCGGTAAGTTCATATCACAATTCTTATTATCGAGAATAGAAGATAGTTCTACTGGCTTCAGCGTGCGAACGTGAATTCTTTGTAAGCAAACAACGTCAAACATAAATATAGGGTCATGATTGTAGTGAATAAAGATACAAGCCCTCACAGACACATGGTGTTCATTGTTCAGTATTTATTCGGTTATAATTGAGGATCGGATTAGTGTCTCCCCTGTTGTTTTCAGACGAGTGACTTTCGAGTGTCCTACTCCTAGGGTTGTCGCCGAGAAATGTAGAATAATAATTATTTACAAGCAATTTGACTGCAGAATTGTCAGTACGGATACAGTATTATCTCAAAATTAAATAAATATAGCCTTTATTGAAATCTTATTAAGTTACATTTTATCTTATTTCTTAGTTATACTTAGTTATTAACGAAATTTAGTTAAAGGTTTTTTGATCGACTTGCTTTTCAGCATATTCCATCTCTTGCTCCTAATGTCGCTCCTCCTATCTCAAAATTGTAAAATGTCAAAAATGTTGCCGCCAAACCGTCAAATTGTCAAATGGTAATTTTTTGTTTTCTATGAATTTATGATCTATAGGAAAAATGCGTTATAATACTGTGAGCAAAATGATTTTAAGAAACAGTATTATATACTATTTATTTCCAACACACAAATATACAGTATTTACAACTACATAGTAATAATGATAATTAAAAAATGATGAATAATTGATATTGGAAGATACCTTTAGTGCTGACAGCATGTGCACTGCCACGGGTACCTAACATTTTAAATTTATTTAAATTTTTAATTATTATTATTGCAGTATAGATTATAATGTTTAATATTATTTTTAATATAATCTATAAAGTCAGATAAAGATCTGTAGCTGCTTAAACATTTTTATTCATAGATCTGGCACAGACTACATACAGAGATTTGAGTGTAATATTTTCTGTAAATTTTATGCACGAGATAGATACATTGTAATAATTGTATACTATTAAGTAAAGCCTTATATAGGTATAATGTGGTGTTCTTTAAAAAAATAGAATGATATTATTTTATTTATATTCTAGTATCTGTGGTGCATTTAGTCTGTGAAAAATATATTTTTGTATTCTCTGTGTTGGCAACCCTTGTCTGAAGTAACGTTCAAGTGGCTCGAGACTCGCACACATGTCGATTTCTATTACTTTTAATTTCACGAGAATACTACCCCTATACACCAGTTTAGATCTCCGATAAAAAGCTTTAATTCAAGGTTATTAACAATGCTCAAATATGTATATATGTATATTGTATACACATATACATATGTACTATAACCTACATACTTTAGAGGTCTAGGGATGGGCTACGAGGTCAAGCCTACTTTTCATTTATCTTCTTATGCGAGATATATATGTATACGTTGTTTGCATCAAATCATATAGAAAGGATATATACAACTTCTAATCTAAAGCCACTAAGGCCAGTCTGACCTGTCGAAGACCTCTCTTAAGGTCGGAAGAAGAGTGCTTTTCTTCCAGCATTTCAAGAAAAGATTTAACTAATTTTGTGTGATATTTTATTAATGTTGAGTCCATAGGCGGTGGTGTCTCTTGGCATCAGAGTGCATCTTGTTTATCGATTGAAAATATTCTAGTGATATTTTTGTTATTTATGCAAACGTAACGAGAAATAATAACAAAATTTAGCATTTCCATTTTATTAATAACTAAAACAGATACAAAAGTATAAAAATTAAACGTAATAATTCATAATAACAATAGTATTTTACAATTCATATTGCTAACAAAAGAGGCTTAAAATTTTAAACAGAATATTTTAAACAATTTCATTGGATATGGTTTATTCTTTAAAATATTTAAAACAAAGAAACAAAATAAGCGACTGAATGAATTCTCTTACAGTTTCTTAATTCTAAACCAAAGCCACAAACGAATTAAAGAAATATCAATTAATAATTGAATATAACTACTTAATATTTAACGATAAGAAACATTAACAGTATTCACAAAAACAATTTAAAAATACCTACTTATTTTACCTAAGATATTTACATAATGTCATATAATGCTCTCACTAAACTAAACCTAACAATTGATCTTAACTTTTTTAACGAATAATTTCCAATGAAGCATAATTTAACAGAAAAGTTAAATTAATTCAATAAGATTTAGTTCTTAAGGTTTAGTCTACATCTCGATAATATTGCATCAAATCTACACAGTTAATTACTATTTATTTATAATCAATTCTAAATAAGGAAGACTATATAAACATTTTTGGCTTAGGTATAATAAAAATAATGTTTAGCCATCGTCGCAGTATAAATCGATTTCTCTACTCCGAGTCGTCCATTAAAGTATCTCATGATATTATTTAATATATGTATCTACTACGCATTTTTTATATGTAGCTTTACTATTAATGAATGACTCAGAGTATGGTTATAAATCTTAAAAAGTACGAAGTTTACATGTTAACTTAAACTCACATGATTGAATTTAAGCAACAAAATTAAAATTTTGCATAACAGTGGTTGTTTGCAACGCGTTACAGTAAAAATAAATTTATCAGTCTTTCTTAAATCGAGAGCTTCTTTAAGACAATTTTAGCGTAACTAACAATTATTATATAATATATTTATATGCCATATTATTCGTGTGCCAGGGCTTTCAATATTAACGTGTGCGTAGATGATCTGTAGCATTCTTGAATTTCTTTCTTTTGATTAGAATAAAATGAAAAATAAATTTGGTTCTTACTCATTGCTTCGTTTTTATTTTCATGTTTTTCTTGTAGTTCATAAAGCGTCTAAATAACTATCTACAGATATAATTTTGAAGTGTTAAAGACAAACTTATTACATATGATTTTATACAGGATAAAAGCTTACATACATGTTTTATTTATACATTAATTTATTAAAGACTACACCGGCCACGCAGGTTCATTACTAAAACGAAAACTGTTCAAGAGCGAAAGAGACACTTTAAACACTGTCGGGAGTGCTACTATCTCTCTCTGTCGAAGTGGACGGCCTCTCCCAGTGCTGGTAAGGTCGCGCTGGGAGGGCAACCGGCCTTCATATAACATGCTGAGGAGGTTCCTCATCACTCTTCATTAGGATGTAAGCTACCGGACGCTTCACATCGGGTGGTGGTGACGGCGTCCTTCGTGGCGGACATCCGCAAGGCGATAATGCACTATTGTAAAGTGCACTGCTGTATAACGCACCGCCGTAAAGGGCCTGGAAATAATTGGACTGTTATGTCCGAGTCCTATGTTTAAATATCAATCATAATCACTATTAAAACAGAGGTTACTTGAATATCCTAGATGGTGAATCTAATAAAAGCGAAAGGGTTGCGCAAATTTTTGCGCTGTGGATAAATCTGAGACCCTGAAATTGAGCGTTCTAACCTTGGCTGTGCACTAGATTGATCTTTTAAAGTGCGCAGACTTGCTCATCATTAATGGAACATAGAGAGAAACCCATCAGTTCATCATTACTATTATTAATTAAAAATATGCCCAGGATTTGCATTATAATAAATTCTATTTAGGAGGAGCAGAATACATAGACAAATTACATCGGACCACTACACCACAGAACACGGCCAATACATAGAATACAATTATAAATGGGGCCTGCCATTTTCTTAAGGGGCACTGACGATACACCTGTACGCTGTGCAGGTTTTAGTCAACCTTTGTAAGATTCTATAGCGGTTAGTTATTAATATAAGCTTGACAACGCTGATACATTGGCACAAGAAAAATATACATATTTGGTAATTTATATAGATTTATAAGCGGAAACACATACCTGTAAGTGTGCGAGTTCTGCAGCCAATTTCCCGTCATCCGGTAACTTCGCAAAGGGATAAAACGGATAAGGCAGTGGTGGGAACAGTCTTCCAAGGTCCGGCTTGTCAAAGTGATGTGGAACGGGCAATTGTGGTACTGGCTGTGGGAGCGGAGTGACCAGACGAGGGACTGGTGCCATTAGACCGGAGATATTGAAACCGAATTTGGGTTCTTTCTTCACAAGAGCCTTTGGTTTCCGGCGGGGTCTGTATTTGTAATCTGGGTGTTCTTTCATGTGCAGGGCTCTGGAAATTTATTTAATTTTAAGTAGGAAGTTTATATACAATTGGAAATTTTAATTATCAAATAAACAATTGCCATACGCAAAATGTTTACTATATTTTTAACGTAATTATTTTAAACAAGTAATTTGTAATAAGTATTACTCATTGTATAATATTTAGGTTTTTCATAGTTATATTTTTTTTGAACGTATAATCTAGTAAACATATAAAAATTTGCAGTATTTACAATATTGTTAACCTTAAGTAGGTACTAATTATAATAAAAAATAGATAATTAAAATGTTTTGTCCCTGTGGCAGTGTACCTTTAACGCCGGCATTTACTCGCTGTATTGTGATACTTATTTGTTGATCAAAGCACCAGATAGGTACTATCTACCAGATGCCAACTTTACTCTTTAATTAAGTCATATGTGGTAACTTAAATGAAAAAACAAAATGCTTATACAACCTTATTATACGTGTGTGTAAATACTTGATATTATGTAAGTATATAATTTTATGTAAGCTTTGATAAAAATGTAAGACGTTTTAGTTAAAACAATATTTAGTAATTAAAATGTGTCAAATCATTTATTCATGGTCGATATTACTCAGTGTAGATCAGTATGATTATCGTGAGAAATAAATATATTCTATTTTGTTTCTTGAACTATGTTAAAAATCCAATTTCAGTAATCAAGTAGGTACATATAAAAATTTAATGACGCTGAAATGTTTTCCATTTCTTTCAAATTATCTCAATTGTTCTATAATTCCTTTATATCAACTGCTAAGAAGATATCGCTTACTATAATGACCGCCTTAAGAATTTGAATATCCAAAAATAATTCTGTTTTTATTATTATATGATAAAATAATACTATTTATTTCCCATAAACGCTCAACATATAATTGGTAATAGATGTTTAGACGGACAGTTCTGTGATGTCCAAATTAACATGCAAATTACCACATTGAAATACACTAAATATTGAATAGGTGTGCACTGTGCAATAAAGTATTAATAAATCTACAATAAAAACGAAAAAGTTATCTGTGTTACTATTGCATATAATTGACTATCTTTCGGTAATTCAAATAGAAAAAAGCTTTAATTTAATGAATTATTTTATTGTCTTTATTGACTTTGTTAAGTAGATGTTAGTTTTTTATACAAATACTAGCTGATCCGGCAAACGTCGTTTTGCCATGTATATCATTTAAAATAAAAAAATATGGGTTGATCGTAGAGGGGTGAAAATTAGGGGTTGTATGTATTTTTTAACGCTGTATCATAAAAAAATAATCTAAAAATTAAAAAAATAATAATTTAGGGGTGGACTACCCTTAGCATTTAGGGGTATGAATGATAGATGTTGTCCGATTCTCAGACATACCCAATATGCACACAAAATTTCATGAGAATCGGTCGAGCCGTTTCGGAGGAGTTTAACCACAAACACCGCGACATGAGAATTTTATATATTAGATTAATTTCAGAGTAATAATATTTTTTATATGTAACAAACAGGCAGGAGTTCATTAATATCGCCGCTCATGGGCACATTGCCAGAAGGCTCGCAAGTGCGTTGCCTTTTAAGAATCGGTATCTTTATTCGAAAGGCCCTAAGTCAAATTGGTTCAGAATGCTGTGGGCAGCGGGTTCCACATAGCGGTTGTTATTAATAAATGAAACTCATTATAATAAAGCAAATACAAATCAATATAACAGTTATATGCATAAACAAAAAACTACCAACGCTAGTTTGAATATAAAATGGCAAAAGCTCTTTTAGAATGCGGATACACGCAGCGCACCCAATTTGTACGATTCAGCGATGTAATTCAATTCGATCGAGTTTTAACTTTATAACTTATACATAAGTCGACAAAACGGCACAATGAAACGGCACCGGCCCGAATAACATTATTATTTATGCAATAAAGCGTACAATTGTCACCCGCCGCCCTTAAAACAACAATGTCAATCGAACAATACGTGGATTATTGCATTGTCCTGTCAGAATCGATGTTGTTCGTCGCCCATCACTATGTCCGAGTGACGGGCCGTTCGAATTGCAACCCTATTCATGCGGGATAAAGATACGATTTGTTAGATGCGGCTGGTGGTTGTGACTTTAAGTGGTGGGCGGATTGTCGACGGAGTGTCCGATTATGCAAGCTTTGTGATAGAATCGCGATTGTCAGCGAGTCGATTGTAATTATTCGAATGGAACTGAGGGTTGATAGTTGAGGTTATCGAATGCTTTGGTTACTTATTTTTTTTTATTACAACTAATTTTAATTCTTATATTAATTATGGATAATAGTGCTCATACGATCTCAGATATCAAATATATAGCTTTAAAATTGTACATATATTCAAATGTGTTTCGTAATAGTTTTCATTTTTGTTTTTCCCCTACTTATTTATATGTAATAATTGATTAATTAAAACTAACCTTATTTAAAGCTGTGATAAATTACGGGTTGTGATATTTATTTATCATTAAGGACGTTAAAATTAATTAACTTTCATAAAATATAACCTTAGCAATATTACGCTTATTAGTACATAACAATAGTAAAAAAATAACCATTTAGATAAAAATACAACAATTGCTAAATTTTCTAAGTAAAACGAAATGCAAATTAATTCTTCAACGTTTTTCTGAAAAACAAATTTGATTTATCTTTTGCGTATCCAATTTATGTAAGAGACAATTAAATTACTATTTTTCCATTTTCAATTATTATATTAATTACTATTATTATTCTTGGGCCGTGGGGTTCAAGTGCAGAGGCGCTTAAAGATTTAAGTTGTCGCCTGGTAGATAGTACCGGTGACCCCAGAGCTGGTGCTTTCCTCGCTCAACGAATAAGTATAGCAATACAGCGAGGAAATGCTGCCAGCATTAAAGTTTTTTTTAAACATTGGGCAAACGGGCAGGCTTACCTGATGTTAAGTGATAGCGCCCATGGACACTTTCAATGCGAGCGCTCTTTTCTTGAAGGACCCTAACTCGAATCACAAAGGTAGATAGAACCAAAAATTTTGAATTTGTTTTAATTTTCTATTTATAAATGTTTAAATACTGTATAGCTGTGTGTTAAAAATTAAATAAAATATATAATTAAATAATAAAAAAAATCTCAGGGATAGAAGTATTTGTGTCACTATTTTTAGCTATTATTATTATTTCTAAGTTTGACAATGTACATACTCTTTCATAAGTTACTTAACCGTCTTATAATAGGTATGTTTGTTTTGCTTTAAATAATACAGTAATTGTCATTTAATCGATACCTATTATTTAATTAACTCCAGTCAAGTGTGAGTGCTTCGAAGTAAACACGTATGACCTCCACTGCCCTCAACAACCTCTTATACCAACATTTCGACATAGGGAAAGAAATCGCCTTTCATATCGAGAATCGTATCAATGTTTACACAATTCGATTAAACTCCGCCAAAAAACTGTACGATAAATAATATCGTCTTTTTGGGTACCGCAAGAGAATGAAACAGTATTTTAAGTTCTCTGTAAACGAAAATATTGTCAAGTGTTATTCCAATAAGTATACAAAAAACTCATTACGTACATTTAATTAAATAAATACAAATGATTTATTTATTAGGTAGGTAGTACTAGACAGAGCAGAGCAGTGTTAGCGGTATGTTTCTAGGCGAATTTTATTTTAAATCGTTTTTTAAAATCATAAAAATATACTTCATAAATAATAATTATATAGCATTAAGCAGGAAAAAGGAGCAGTATTGGCCTAGTGGCTTCAGCGTGCGACTCTCATCCTTGAGGTAGGTTCGATACCTTCACACCAATGGAATTTCTTTCTATGTGCGCGTCTAACATTCGCTCGAACGGTGAAGGAAAACATCGTAAGGAAACCGGCTTGCCTTAAACCCAAAATGTCGAAGGCGTGTGTCAGGTGCAGGTGGATCACCTAATTGCCTATTAGTTTGACAAATGATCATGAAACAGATACAAAACTCTGAGACCCAGACCTAAAAAACGGTAGTCAAACTTTTAAAAATACTCGCGTTTATTTTATTACTTAGGCAAATCTTAATCTTAATTTCCTAAGCATATAAGCTATTATTATTTAAATACAATATAAAAGTTGCTAATAATTATACCAGAATTACTTAATTATATTATACTGAACCCAAAAGTGACATACTGAAGTCGCACTTGCCTTATCTTTTTCTATCGATATTCGTGTGTTTTTCTTGAGGATATCGTGTTTGTTCCGCAAACAAAGTAATGAACGAATTGATAGCGTCGGTCACTGACCCACGATTTTTGGATACAGTGGCAGGCTTTTATCACTTTTATTATTGGATGTGCAGTATGTTATTAAATAAAACAACATACAGTTATTGTAATTTTCGCTCGTCGTAGCGCCGTGCTACGCCGTAGCACAATTAGCAATTATACTGAGATTCATTTAAATTATTTGTGTATACATTTTTAGGTAATAAATTATCGGCGATGCCTATAACATATTCTGTAAGTGAGGTCGCTCCGTGGAGCCTGTGAAGTGCCCAGGAGACTTCTGTGCTTCTAGAAGGAGCTGGGCTGGCTTAGTTAGCCAGGACACTACGCACAACGGACCTAGTGAGAGTCTAAGTGCGGAAACTGAGTCCACCAAACTTAACCTTAACATATTCTGTAGATACAGTTGAGCTAGTTTTTTTCAAAATATGCACATAATAAATTATAATTCAATTAATGACTAAGTCGTAATAATGGCTCTAGCAAGTTTATGATTTTAGGTTACCACGAAGTGTCGCCAAATATTTAACTGTTAAATATTATCATAATTTTATAGTTAACTATTTTAATAACAATAATACACAAAAAATACTGGCGGAGAGTTTATTGTCAGTTCTTCTCGTCCGCTCTACGCCCTTGATTTGAGAACTGGCAGGAAATGTAAAATTAGAAGCATTTAATATGTATTTCTTTATTGACGTTCATAAGTGTACATTGTATTACC